AAAAAAAAAAAAAAAAAAAGAAACACTGACAAGAAGAAGTGTTGACAGAGATGTGGCATAGCACCCTGTCTCGTAAATTCCTGGTAAGACTGCAAAATGGTACATCCACTTTAGAAAATAGTTTAGCAATCTATATCATAATGTTTTGCTATGAAAAATTATATATGTCCTCAAAAAGACCTGTATATGAATGTTCACAGGAACATTCTTCGTAATAGCCAAAACCAAAAAAATACACAAGTATCAACCAACCAGTGAATGAATAAATAAATTTTGTCTGGGCCTGATAGCACACACTTATAATCTCAACACTCAAAAAACCTAGATAAAAGTATGGCCATGAATTTTGGGCCAGCCTGGGCTACATAGTGAATTTAAAACCATAGTGAATTCAACAACATAGTGAGACCCTGTTTCACAGAACCAAAATCAAAAAATGGTATATACTTTTTTACCATCAATAAAAAGAAATGGACTATTAATTTATACAACATTGTGAATACATCGCAAACACATCGTCTATGTGAAAGAAGACAACTACAAAAGACTTCTGATGGTAAAATTCTATTTATATGAAATTCTAGAATAGACAAAACTGTAATGGGATGAAACAAATGTTGATTACCTGAGGACACTGTTAGGGGAATTGACCACCAGGGACAAAGAGGTTTCCGTGGTCATGAATGGGGAAAAAGAAAAGATATTTTCCAAAGTATGGACAGTGGCTATATATTCGACATAAGAATAGAAGAAAAAAATGAGTGGCTTTTGCTTTTTCAAAAGTGTTTGAACTTTGTTTGAGCAAACATGTTGCTTTTGTTGTCTTATAAAAACTAATACAGTGATTATACCAAGACTGCAATTTTAAATTCTAACGCCCAAGCAAAAGTTTCTGAGTGACTACACTAGTTCTTGGTTGATAAAGGGTGGAAGGGGATGACCTAGAACCCTGCCCACCACCTTCCCACAATCAAGAATGCCCTAAGCAGGCTTACAGAGGTACACACTGTTGGTTTATGTAGTGTTTGTTATTTCTGAAATCTTCAGTATAGCACTCTTCAATTCTGGAATCTAAATAATTCAGCTTATCCCGATAATGTTTATTGAATGTCTACTACATGCCAAGCTTTGCAGTAAGTTTATGAGTAGTTAAAATGAGGAAGCTTAAATCAAAATAAAAGTATTCAGATTTCATCTATTTAATTTTTATAATTTGAGCTTTAAAATATGTTATAGGGTAGCAAATTTCAGATTTTATTGTAATTCCTCCAGACAAGATTCAACTAAATTCATTTTTTAAATTTTCAACCAAACAGAAACCAGCACTTATCCCAGTATGGAAATTTTTAAACTCTGAGCAAAAACATACACAATAAACAAGTACAGGACCTATGTAGGTTGACTGAAGTTAAAAGTAGATTTCTCCTGTTTGTCAAAGACTAAGTCATTGAACCAATCTCACAATTTTTGTTGGATAGCTCAGTCATTATGACTGATTCTACCTGGCATAATTATCTATATCTAATCCCATGAAGTCTTCTAAAAATTTCCTTTAAAATCAACAAACTGAAGAATATTAGAGCAGAAAACAGAAGTCAAACTCCTTTAATTGATGGATGATACTTCCCCAAGAAAACTGTTCCAGGGTCCTTCCATCACAATGCATGGCCCATAGCTTATCCCCAGGGAATCCTTAGGAGAGATGGAGACTAGAAGTAGATTACCAAAAATGATTCCTGAAGTGAATAACATCAGAAATGGTTATCTAAATTCCAAGAATAAAAATTAACCTTATTTAGAACACTAAGCTGTTTACTTCTCTCTTTTCCTACACTGGTACCAAGAAGAGTGCCTGACTCCTGTAATTGCCTGGATAACTGTCTGCCAAAGGTAGAGATCTTTAGAACTTAGTATAGAGAAGAAAATCTCTGTAGAAGATAAAAAGGTCTACTGTAGAGGTTTGGTTTGGTTTCGTTTCATTGCATTTAGTCTCTGCCTATTTGTAGTCATTTGTAAAACATTTGTAGTCAACTGCCCTGAATTCCTGGTTAGAGTAATCCCCAGATCATATCACATAAAATAGAGCTATGTATCATGGAGCACTACAAAGCTCTAATGTCACAAGGCAGATGAGGACTGTAAGGCACATTGCTTTTCTTTCCTCATAGGATAACAAATTTGCTGACGCTGTCCCCTTGGTTTCAGGGCTAAGGATCTGATAGAGCTTAATTAGACCTCAGGCAGCCTGAGGCAAACTTACAAGAAGCTTTTCCTGTATTTTGAGAGTCTTAATTCTGGTCTCCCTCCTGTCTTACTTCAGGAGGGCTCTACACCATTCTCCGGACCACTTCCTAAACAGGACAGCAGGCAAAACAGAGATTAACATATATGAGTAGGGAAGGTGGGAAGAAATGGAAAAAGGGAAAGGCAAAGAAACTGTGACAAGGGAACGATAAGGGCACAAAAGCAAGCACAATCACCTGTTCCCTCTTGGACACACAGTGCCTTCCTTTTCAAGCGGTGCCTCATTCTCCCTGTATCCAGGTGGTGGCACTGGTGCTCTTTCTGCCTTCCCTGTGGGCAGCGTTCAGTTTGTCTCCCCAGCATAGGAAGAACTCTAGGAGGTAAAGGAAGAGATGAGGAACACTTGGATACCCAGTGTTGGACCCGTTGAAACACAGCTCCCTGAAAGGCCACTCCTTTGCAATGCCTTGCCTTCACAAGGGTGTAGCAAGGGCAGGAAGAGGAGCAGCAACGGGACAATTAAGGGGTGTAGTCTACAGGTGGTAGAGGCAGGGAGTGGGCAGCAGAGTTCCTTCTGTTTGTAAGGCAGTCACAGACGGTAAGTTAGATGAATTTGATCTTAAATTATGCAGACTGTAGCCACAAACACTTAGGTTAGTTTTTATCATTTTCAAAGACTTGTATAACCTCAAAATCTTTATAAAATTCACCGTTGTATCACTCTACATGGTGCCTGATTTTATAGACAGAAAGAGAATATATATATAATATATTAACTTTGTTTATATGATATATATTATATATATTAACTTTGGATGTATATATTATATAATAAATTAACTTTGTTGTTTTCAGCAAAGTCACCTAGCAAGTTAGTGATAAAGTTCTCTGGAGTCTTTTACTGAGTAAGCAAAAACACCAGATTTTAAAGTCTCAGCTGCATGACCAGTGCTATATTCACAAGTTTTTCTAGTTAATCTAAGAAATTCTCTAACTATATTACAGGTGCTTTTGAGCATTCTTTGCAAATAAGCACTTGGGTCTAAGTTTGAAAGAGACCAATTTAAACTTTCCAAAGGTCCTAGAAGAACAATCACTGGTCTTTTTCATCAAGTAAATGTGACTACATCATGACCTCTAAATAAGATAAAAAGCACTGGGAATCCTCCTGTGTTTTGATCCATGACTAAAGCTACAGACTAAGGATTACAAATGGACACTTTGGTGAAATGTATAACTTTGGTGGTGGACATGTTTGGTTTCTATTCCTCCCCCAGTCTCTATCAAACAGTGTGATCTGGAACAACTCACTCAGTCCTCCTGGTGCTCCGACTTCCTCCTCTGTAAAACATATTAATTCAGTTGGATTCTTTAAATCCCACCATTTCCATAAATAATCGTGATTCTTCTGAAAACCTCCTTGTAAGCAATATTCCTCTACCTCAATTACTACTGGGTAGAGTTGCTTCCTTGAACTATGTGTCCTGACTCTAAAGTCTATTTGAAAAAGTGCCTACAGAGGCTGGGGATTTAGCTCAGAGGCACGGCACCTGCCTGGCAAGCATGAGGTCGTGAGTTTGGTTCCTGGTACCGGGGAAAAAAAAAGAAAAAATGCATACATAGGTTAGAAGTACATAACATGTTTTACTTTCTGTGCGACTTTTTCTGCACCATTTTGAGGCCTCTATTAAACATTTCTGCAGTATGTAAGTTTGAACTTTGACCAGCAGTGCCCATGGGGCTGGTACATTTAGCAGTGTATCTCATTTTAATATCAATCATTTCCATAGTTAGCTAAAGCTCGGTGTCAACTTACAGTTGTTGTCAGACAAGAGAAAACAAGGACTGAAAAGAGTTGAGGAGTGAATGGCCCTTCCAGAAATGAACTGTCAAATGAAATCAGGCCACCCAACTGAAGTAATGTATGACTGCAACTCACAGAGAGAGTGAAGGTAGATATAGCACTGGTGACAAAAATGACTTCTCTTTTGGCCAAGTTAGTACAGTCTAAGTTAAATTAGTCTGTTGTAACTTAGCTACATCAGGCTAAGTTCATACAGTCTGTTTTGTGTAGTTATGTTCTCTTTACAGGAGAGAATGTCGGTATCTGTAAAGGATTTAGGCTGTTCACTAAGCAGAATTCATTCTGACTGTCGTAACGTGCAGCCTCAGAGTTCAAAGAACAGTTATTTTGTACTGGGAAGTGGTAACACATAGATTTCCCTGCTGCTACATGGCTTTGTGCTCCCTAGAAGTATTAGATCATTCGTGTTCATCTTAACTAAGTCTTCTGATTCACTGAGAAATTAGGCAGTAAGAGATACATTTCTGTTCTGACTTGTGAAAGTTCACATTTAGCTGAAAGATCTGATCTATTTGTCTGAAATCAGATTAATTATAAGTACAAATGACACAAACCTCATTAATGCTTTCTATTAAGAGTTTTGTTATAGCTTCTCTCTTACATATATTGAAGTCAAATATATTTTGAAAAGATTTTTAAAAGGGTAACTGATAAAGTCAAGCTGAAGAGATGTATGCAGCTGTTGTTGCTTGGATGATATATTCACTCATTTCTCAGAATGCACATACTAACACTAACAATGTTCAACCTCCCTTGAGGCCCCTTTTCTCTATTTTGTAAAACAAACCATTTTCCTTTAAGATAAAAAGTTATGGAAGGAATGTTTATAGGCCTCTGATTATTTTTATTCTCTGCAGCCCTAATATATGTGTTAATGCTGATAGTGTAGTATGGTGACTACTTTAAGCCCACATGGGCTTTTAAATCCTAAACTGTGGACAGATACTGGTTTTTATGAGATTTTAGACAAGTAAGCAATGCGCATTTAAATCTTCACTGTTCCCACCTTTCCAGAAACTTTGAAATTTTCTGGTTTATTTTTGGTTAAAATTGTAAAGTAAGCATTGTTGATGGCCCTTATTTTGTACCGTATTTTTAGAGGACATAGGCCTACAACAGATGCTGTCGGTACTGCAGGGACCTAGAGGGGACATGCAGTCCACCTCTGTGACACACGAAGACACATGTGAGATGACTGGGAAATAGTAAAACACAGCAAATGTTAAATCAAGCTCCATTTTTACAGCTGTAACTAAGGAGTTAGTGCTGCTATATCTTTATTTACTCGAAGGAGCCAGTTGCTCACAGCAGTTAAAGAGCTGTGAGAACACTTTAATTCTTATCTTGTACTTCTGTTTATATACCTGTGTGACGGACTTTATTGTTTCTGAATTAACACATAGCTCTGTATGACTAATTTCCATGAACCCTATATTTAAGGATGATTCTAGGTCTTGCTTTTTCTATCCTGCCCTGAAGATATTCCTTCTTTCTCTAATTTGAGTTCATCACACACAACCAAATGCTGACCACTTGTCTAACTTACCTTGAGCATAGTCAATTTAAACTGTACGGCCAAGAATTAGCTAGCAAGATTGGAGAAAACGAATTTGCAGCCAGAAACTTTGAACTGATCTCTTTTAATGACTCTCCTATAGCTTCTAGTGTTTTTCAAATATTCCATTCACAGGAAGGGATTAGAATGATAGTGTCCCATGGAAGTGTAAATATCTACGGTGGCCTTGTCCAAACAGAATTTGTCACACCAGTCTGCCTCTTGTCTTTCTGCTGCCTAGAATTTAAAGTTCATGCTCTTTTGCCGCGTATCCAAAGCTTCCACCCTAAACTCACCTCCTCCTCCTCTGCATCTCACAAAGCTGTTCCATCAGACTTGTACTGGGCAATCTCCATGCAAGTCAAACTCATTCTGACCTCAGTAGTTTGTTCAGTCAATCCCCACATCCGAAATGCTTTCTTCCCTACTTGTCTACCTTAACTCTGTTTCCTCTCCATTCATGGCCTGACTAGAATCTTCCTCTTCTGTGTGTGTGTGTACCTTGAAGATGGAGATAATTTCAAGCATTCTGGAAAGCTGCAAAAATGTCACCTACTGTTAACCTATCGTTCTCTCCTAATCTTTTCAGTTGCAAGTTCTATTCCTTTCTTTTCTCCCTTTCTCCTTCTCTCCCTTTCTCCTGTCACTATTTGTCTGCTTGTATTATGCATCTAACTATCTGGTTTTTTAATCACTGAAAAATAAGCTGCGCGTCCTATTCCTTTATCCTTCTATATTCCAGTGTGGATTTCTAAGAATGTGAACATTCTCTTACATAACAACAGTTGCTATAGCCTGACACTTCCCAATTTCCACAGCTTGGCACCGTTTCACCCTCAAGATGACCACTTCCCATTTGATTAATATCTTCAGAGTTGTTTTCTTGTTCTGACCCTTAAGCATTTTTCAGTGTGATTTACTGTTGTGAGTAAAAACTTCAATATTACACCAAGTTTTTCCAACGTGCTCTTGGCTCAGTTGTGTTCCCATATCCCCTTGACCAGACTGCCCTAATAACTGGATTATGGTAATGCAAAGCCCGGGATAGTCACTAAAAGTTCTCACTTCCTGGGGTTGGTTGAAGCATTTGGTCTGAAATTCATCCCATTATCCTTAGAGAAAAATCAGATAATATATTTGAGAAAAAACAAGGCATTTTTATTACGGGCTGTGTCAGGCTTTTGGCTGCAGTTTTGATTATTGTCCCTTAACAACTGCAAGAGATGAAGAACAGAACCAAGAATGGAAAAAGTCACACTCTGAAGTATGTAAGTAACTGGATTGATTTCATGTTCAAATTCTAGAGCTCAGCCTTTCTAATTATGAAAATAGCAGTTCCGCTTTATGTCTTGTTTTTCAAAAACAGTTGAGGCCTGGGGATGTAGCTCAATGGTAGTGTACTTGCCTACCATGTGCAAAGCCTTGGGTTCAATCCCCAGTACCACACACACACACAAAGGAAAAATTCAAAATATAGTTTAGCTGAACAATAATATGAGTTCCAAACGAGAAAATGGCTAGTAGTCAAGAGGATCAAATTATGCACATGATTACTGGCAATCTCTTTAAAATTTGAGCTGAATGAAACCATGAAATCTTTTCAGTCCCACTAATTTTGTGCCATTTCATAAGAAATGTGTCCTTCTAAATGATTTTTATTTCTCCTAAATGATTTTTATTCTTTTTTAAACATGTGTTTCCATCATTCCCAACAGTTTCAAACAAAACATATTGTAAATTATTAAATAGGTCCAAGGTTAATTTCCATGATTTTGAAATATCAGCATGAATTTCTAACCATTGTCTCAATTGCGGATAGAGATTTTTGACCCAGGGAATAGTTTGTACAAGCAGCTAGTCAGCTTGTAGTGTCTAAATTTGCAAAGAAATGAATAGACTTTAAATAAATAGGGATTCTTCAACATTCTTCAACATTCCCCACTAGGCTGCTTATAAGATAATTTTATTAAATTAGCCTTTATAAAGTTATGTTATTAATAAATGCTTCACCAAAGCCTAACTCCTCGTCTTCTTTGGTGATCGTATCTAATCTCATGACCTTAAATCCAGTCTGTATGCTGATGATGCCCAAATTTATGCCATCAGCCTGTTCTGTCCTCTGAAATTCCTGAACCAACCAAATACTACTGTCTACTTGATTGGTACATTTGGATCTCAAATTTAGTAGTTCCAAATCAAGCTCCTAGAATTTTCTTCCCAATCATTGCACACAGTCTTCTCTTCTCAATAAGTAACAACTATATTTTTTCAGCACCATAGACTAAAATCTTAAATGGCATCATATACCCCATTATTTCTCTTTCACACACCCACATCAAGTCCACCAGAAAATCATATCTTTATCTTCAAGGTATTTTCATAATTTGGCCATTTTTAAAAACACCATTGCTAACACTCTAGACAAGTCAGTACCATCTCTCATCTGGATTCCTGCAATAGTTACCTGACTTATCTCACGTAATCTTTTCTCAAGAATAAAACCAAAGCAGTATTTTCATTACCTAAGCCAGAGCTTCTTGTTCCAGTCATTACAAAGTAGCTGGATTTGATTTATCCTTCTGCTGCAAGCAACTATAAAACTAGATAAAATATATAGAATAATAGTTTGTAGTCCAAAATGAATACAAATCAGTATCTGGCTACAAACCCTGAGAAAAAGGAACTATAAGAGCTGAGCCTCACCTTTTCCCTAAATGTATTTTTCAATGGATTTCAGTCTTTTCAGTAGAAGAAACCAAGTTTAGAGCTCAGCAATGCCACCAGGGCTAGGTGGCATTTGAGGAGAGGCAGAGGACAAGGAATCAGAGATAAGGTAATCACACGCAAGGGCTGCCACAAAGCTGCATGGAAATTCTCCGTGGCTGAGGGTTGTATTGCCTGGATGCATGAGCAATTCCAGAAGGCATAGTAAAGAAGGCATGTACAGCAAATATTTGAGAAATGGCAGTCATCTGGCACAGTCAAAGGAGAGACATTTTGGTGAAAATTCTGTGGTGAGGATAGATACACACACACATACACACACACACACACACCCAAAATCATGGACTAGAAATAAGGATCATGTCAAGGAGTAGAACCATAGTCAAGCACTCAGCAACACACTGAAATTGGCATACCAGAACAAGCCTGAAACCAATCCTTGGTATTTTCAAGATGATACATTAGTAATCTTAAGTGAGGAAAAGAAAAATGTGCAAAACATCTATGCCTAGCATATAAGCAAAAATTCCTACACAACTAAAGAAGCTAGAAAGTGTATTTCATTTTGTGGAATTTGTTTTAAAAGAGCATAGAAAAAAATCATTATTTTCCTCAGAGGAACAAATTATAAAGAATATAGCTTAATGCTCAGCTGAAAACCTGGAAGCCAAGAGATAAGAGAATGATCACATTTAAGAGCTGACAAATGCCACCAATTTAGTATCCTGCACCAACTGAAAATATTCTTAAAATTTAAAGTGAATTATAGATGTTTCAAAATAAATGAAAGCTAAACAAATTCAAAACCAGCAGACAGGAACTTCTTCAGGGTGAAGGAAAATCTTTCCTTCCTTCTCTGTTTTACTCCCGCTGTCCTTCCCTTCAATCACTTCCCAAGTAAACTACCTGCATCCAGGCTTAGATTTTTACTCTGCTTTGAAAGGAACCAAGACTGCATAACCTCCTCAACAGCATAAATACACCCTTATCATCAGTCAAACATGCTTGATTTCTGGTAGTAAGTACAGACAGTCCTTAACCCCACAGTAGGTTATTTATGGAAAATAGGCCATATGTCAAACTTATGTATATGAAACCTGGTATTCCTAAGAAACAAGGCAATGTTCTCTTTCTTGATTTAAGGAAGAGGTACCCATTTTTTCCCATAGAGAGTATTTTAAATGAGAATTATAGAACTGACCAAAAACTAAAGCATAAAGTTTTATTTAATAGAAGATTCACAAACTATAATTTAAAAATCTGTGCAACTGCTGACTTAATTTGATTCAATATGTTAGAAGAATATGTGTAGAAGTTCGGACAGACGTCCATGAGAAGATGCCAAGCCATTTTAAAGGCACTTGAAAAGCCAATTCAGGAATGTTAGCTTTCCTGTTCCTGTACTTTTTTCTTTTCTTTCTTAAAAAGTTTTCATATGGTAACATAGGCTGGGAATCAGTTGTCAGATTTACTGTAACATCCAATGTTGTAAAAAAAAAAAAAAAAAAGTCCTTAAAATCATCTTTGGTTAGCCTGTTGTAGTGTTGATAAGTGGTAACAGGTTATATCTGACAGAGCATCATGTGACTTAGATCAGTGCAATAAATTAGGGACGAAGACATGAAGGCTTATGTGGCACAGGCTGCTGCAAGCAAACACTAAGAATATCGACACATTTTTAACCGTAGATGTTTCACGAAACGACATCATCCACAGTGAGGGGAAGTGTTGATGGTACAACTATTAAAGGAACAGTGGAAGATAAGTTCTTTTGTTGATGAATTTTTCAACATGGGTAGGCCCACTTCACCTGGAATAGAGGGAATTAAGCCCCTTTCTCAAGTTAGGGTGTCAGGATTTAATTTTTGCCTCTTCTATTTCCTAGCTCTGTGTCACCTTTGGCAATTTGCTTCACCTCACTAAACCTCAGGGATTTTTTCTATTATGTGAAAAGTTGGTATAATAATACCGCCAGACTGGGGGTGTAGCTCAGTGGTAGGGCAATTACCCAGCAAGCATGACACTATATTCAATCCCCAACACCACAATATAAATAAATAAATACAAAATAATTAAAATGTGATTTTAAGGGGAGGCTGGGAATGAAGCTCTGTTGAGAGTGCTTGCCTGATGTATGCAAGGCCCTCGGTTCGATCTCAGCAATGCAAAATAAAACAAACAAACATAGTACCACCTTCACAGAGTCATTGTGAAGATTAAATAAGAAGTTATGAGAAGAATTCAACACAGTGCGGGCACACAGCAAATGCTTAGTAAATGTTGACTGGCACTGCCATCTTCCTCCTCCTCCTCAGTTTCTTCCAACAGACCCTACAAATTTGTTTATCTTCTCTGACACATTTAACTCCTTTTTTATAAGATTTGCATCTTACCACCTGGAATAATTTTTCTCAAGCCCAGTAGCCTCATTTCTGTAGGCAAAAACTCCCCACAATGTATTCCACATTCTGATACACTACCATCAGTAGCAATGAAAAATCTTCATAGCTAACTGAGCATTTAGTTTGCATTTTCATTGGGCTCTCCTTTCTCTGGTTGGTATTAAGAAATGTGTTTATATTTCTGCTCCTCCAGGCCTCTACACACCAGCAATCCCATCTGATATTGTGCTCCATCCCACCAATGCTCCTCCCTAAACATTGCCTCTTCCTTCCTGTCCTTCAGGAGTGCCCTAGAAGTGAAAACAAGCAAGCCAGTTACGTCAACATAATTCTGAAGATTTTCAAGTGTATACAGTAAAAGAATGAAGGAGGGTATAACAGGTTCATAACAGGAATGGAAGGTAAATATTTTTCCTGGTAGCTCTTCTGCCTTCTAACTCTCCTAGTTCCCTACCAGAGAATCTTTCACTGGTCAATCTTTCCACGCACTTGAAAATTATCCTGTGCTTTTCACTGGTCAGTCTTTCCACTCACTTGAAAATTATCCAGTACTCATCATGAATACCCCAGCCTGGATCCTTCAACATTGTCATTTTTCCCACTAAAAGTCTTATTAGCTCCAAACTAAGATTTTAATGAATTATGACCTTAAGAATAAAGAATAGCTTTGATCTTAAAAAGAATAAATGACTGTTGGCTCAAGATATTAGCTCACTCTAATTTCCACACTGCCATTCATCCCCTTAGTTAGTTAATAAAAGTATGCGGAGAGAATATCAACTATTTCTAGTATTTTCTAGGACCCTGAGACTCCATTAAAATCTTAAGCTAGTTATCCCTAAGGGCTACATTCCCAAAAATGGAATTTAGTGTGGCTGGCCCATGCGTCTGTGTGTTTGGGGTGGAGGAGAGTGGGGAGGTTTGCCTAGATGTGAACAATTGCCCCTTACATAGCTCTTTGGAAAGTATGAATTTTTTGCATATTAAGTGGTCTTAGTGTAGGCCATATCTATGAAGAGAAAATTTCAAATCTGATACATGTATGGCAGAAGGTCTATAAATGGTCTTTTGCAAATATATAAGTATCCTTTTTACAGTAGGTAGTTTATATAAGGCAAAGACATAATTTAAAATGAAATGTAGGAGTATGGAATGATTATGAAGTTCTGAGGTAGATTCTTATACTGTTGGCATCTTTGAGAAATAAAGCTTAATCCAAGATGATTTGAGAAGATGGATCAGAGGTTAAAGAACACTGCACAAATACTTCTGCTGTCTAAAGCTAAATTGCTTTTGGGCATTCCTCCATCTATAAAGAGGCAGGAGACAAGATTAATGTTTGTTTGACATTCTAGCCATTAGGTTTAAAGTTTAGTCTTCAGTGAGGAAAGGGAATCACTTGTAGTTTCAAAAAGTGAGGGACAAAAAGCCTTCAGCTAAGGAAGGAAAAGTTTAGACTAGATATTAGGAAAAAGAATGTTCTCATGAACAAGAGCCATGGAGCATTGGAGTAAGTGCCCAGGAGAGGTCAAAGGAGCTTCTGTGCAGAATAGAATGGTTTCATTAAGATGTTATAGGAGTATTAGCAATAACTTGAAAAATGCAAATGGAGTCGAGACCTTTTCTGATTCTGTGACCTAATAGGGCAGAAGACTGGCCCATTCAATAGCAAGCCAAGCTCAAGGACATAGGCAAGAAGTTCTGGAAAAATAACAATCTATTGGCCAAAACCACAGAGACTAAAGAATCTTCTCCCATCTACTGACACCTAAATACTCTTTCAGAAATGCCACACTAAGCTCAGTATTCAAAACCAGTGATAAAGGAGTTAAAGATGAGCATCGAAACCCAGAATTTCAGAAAACTTCAAATAAATGATCATATGTGTTTTTAATTCCCTGAAGCTAGAGAGCAGAACAATATGCTATGGACTGGCAGATCACTTCATAGGAAGGCCAAGGGCCAGGCATGTATGATGTATACATTGGGTCAGTTTTCAAGTAACAGGAAAGTTGTCAAGAAAGTCATCTGAAGTTCCAGTTTATAATCTAAAGACATATTGTTTTCCTAATATTTGGTGGCCCGTACAGGAAGGGGTCAAGGGGACTATGCTGATATTTCCCACCTTTTCCTTTTGTAGCCCTAACACCTCCCAGTGGGGCCTCTATCCTTACCTTGTCTCTTGCTTTCTCCTCTTCCTTACAAGCTTCAGGTTCCAAAAGTAATGCCTGAAGAGCCTTGACTGACCTTCATAGATATCAAGAGGTTAATTTTGATTAACACAGATCTAACTTTCACTTGGTCTTGAACACCCAGCAAAATCGTATAACAAAAACCACTAAAATAATAGTCATACAGGCTCTACATAAAAAGGCAGTTCCAGTCACTGAGCCCTGCTAACAGTTTCCAGCCACAGACAGATCTAGGAGCCAGCTGGTTACATTTGCTACTCCAATCCAGTAAGAACAGTGGCTGGGTGTTCTCCTTCCCCAATCTGCCTTTCCATTCTAGTGCTCATGCTTTGGTCCTACATGCTTTGATCTCTTGGTAAAGTTTGTTTATTCCCACCTAAAAACTGTCAGACTCCCAGTGATCATGCAGATGGAGTCAATGATAAAAATGCCTGGGATCCATTGCCTCCAATCAAAGTCTGACCAAGGGGGCATATACACCAGGCTTCACATAATATGCTGTACTTTTATTCCAGATAGTCATGATAATGTAATTGTAACTCCACAGGAGATAAAACACAGAGGTCTAGGGCTACAAATGTCTCAGGATCACCTACAGAGTTCACAGGATTCAAGCAAGTCCACTATCCTATCTTGGAGTCTTCCCTTTGTAGTGCCTGTTCTCCTTTTTCTACTGTTCGTTATTGCCATGCCTAATCAATCTGCTTCAAAGATTTCTCACCAACAGAACTGCAGCCATTTCACTGGCAGATGCTAAAGACCACATCAGTATGCTCCTCCTTCAGTCCAGAAAAAAAAACCCTACCACCATTGCCCCTACTCAGCAGGAAGCTGTTAGGAAAGAAATGTGCCACCCATTTTCCTTATCTAACCATAGAGTCTGGAGTGAAGGAATCGGACCACCACCATCCTGGTCTGAGCGGAGCCCACTTTAAATCCCTTCCCCCTGCTGTGCTTTCACACCTGCCACAGAGGTATCTCAACGGGTTAATCAGCCCAGTAAGCAAAGCTACGCCCTGTAATTCCCAACCATTGCTCATCCCTGCTTTTGACAAACAAGGCACACCTCCTTGTGCATCTTCAATCCCCATCCCAGGCGGACAGGCACAACTCCTTTGTACTGACCCACCCACCCCGCAGAGTCGCATAGTGACTTTTCCCTTCCACATCCCCCCTCCCCTTTATTATGCTCATGACCCTATAAAGACCTCATAGCCTGAATGAGAGTAGCTGGTCTGCTCTCTAGTGAGAAGGCGTCCCTCTCGGGTTTGTTCTGAAATAAACCGGTCCTGCTGAGCCTGTACCTCTGTATCTTTTCCTTTTTCCTAACTGTTACCAGACCTACAATCACATGCTCCATTAAATTCAGCAGAACTTATTCCAAATTACACTTCTGAAACCTAGCCTCTAAAATCCTATATAACTGGGATCCCCTCCTCAGACCAGGAAAAAAAACAAAAAATTAACTTGTTTTTAATCTTTAAAATTTTGAGCCTAAAAACATCCTACATGTTGATCAGATGATCAATTCTAAAATTAAGAATTCAATCAACCACATGTGTTGACACAGCCCCTAACATTAATCTGAAATATTTTTCACTATTAATTTTAACATTAATTTGAATATTTTTCACTATTAATTTGAAATACTTTGCATTACAATGGTATAACTTTATGGTGACAGTTGTTTCAGAAGGTCACAAAAAGTAGGGATACATTATCACAAAATGACCTCCTGAGACATCTGTCACCCCCTCTCACGGGCCAGAGTGCTTTGCTTCATCAGACTGGCTGGACCCATGCAATGACCATCTCTCACATTTCTCTATTTTCTTCCCATTCCTGTTCAAAGAAGATGAGCATCTATGAGCGCAGAAAAGTTTTGAAAATTTGAAGAAGTCTCAGTGTTCCACTTACTATGGCTGTAAAACATATTGTAAAATTTAATGGCTTGAAATAATGATAATCATTTATTATTTCTCATAGTTTCTATACCCCAGAAATTCTGCTCAGCTGAGCTAGCCAGGGTCAGAGTCTCTCAGGCATTTGTAACTATCTGAAGGCTTGAATAGCGCTGGATCTCCTCCTCCAAGGGAGATTACTCACTTTGTTAACAAACTAGTGTGGGCTTGGGCTGGAGTCTCAGTTCTTCTCCCTAAGTACCTCGCACAGGGCTGCTTGTCCTCACTGCATGGCAACCAGCTTCCTCCAGAACAAGCCATCCGCGAAAGCAGAGCTGAAACTGCAATGCCTTTTATGGCCTAGCTTTGGAAGTGACACTCCTCCACTTCTGTGTATTCCATTGGCACATCAGGCCATTCCTGATTCAGTGTCAGAGAAGACCTGAGAGCTATGTGAATATTAAGAGGCTAAGATTATTCGGACTCATCTAAGTAGCTTGTTACTATACTCAAATGCCCTAACACATCAGTAACACATCGGTAAATGCATACTATTCACTGAGTCCCAGGTTTACCTTAGCCACCTGGGCTATTTGATACTTCATAGTTTGTGGTTATTTCACCCTCAAGCATTATAGCTCTTTCTTCTCCTTGGTTTTGAGACACCACACCTTCTCTTCCTTGTTTTCAAGTATGACATCAGGTTCACATTGAAAATGCCTATTTTTACTATTTGATGATTCTAGCCTCCACAGTGTTAGGTTAAGCCCCCATTTGAATTTGTTCATTAAACAAACATTTGGTAAATGCTCACCGTACACCAGGGATACACTGTTGCACAAGACAAGTGAAGCTATTAGTTAACAGAACATAGCTTAGAGTCTTCTGACTAATACGCCTCCAAAATGCTGTTCAGTGGAAAATAAGTTGTTGCCAGTCAACCCAGATCACTTTTGTAGCCACTGCTGAGTGTTCCCACAATAGAAATTCAATTATTATTCTTTTCTGATTTTCAGAATCTCTAAACTGTTCTCTTTATTCCCCATTTCTACTCCCACCTTTTATGACTAGGAGACACATTGTCACCACTTGCTAATAAATCAAGAAACTGATATTTATGAAGTGCATATGCTCTTGTTCAGAAAAGGGGGTAGAATTTCTTATTTGAGTTTGGAGGGAGAGGAGCTATCTTCCTCAAAGTTACTGCCATCCAGATGTTGGGAAAAATTTCAAACAAGGAAGCAGGGTATAGAAATACCAGTTCCATCTCTATACTCAAAACAACACATAGCACCCAAGGGGGAAAAC